AAACTTGGTGCATGCTTCTATCACTGAAAAAAAAATCAGTACGTTTGCTCGAATCGTAATGGAGATATTCAATGTTCTTAAGTGAACATGACTTTTGGGACACCCTGTATTTATACTATTATTTAATGTAGTCTATTAAATGTTACACAATGGTAATAAAGAAGGATGACATTAAAAAAAATAGAGAAATCAAATTAGCAAAAAATCGTTTTTCTTAAAAGAATGTTCTTTTATTCTACTTTTCATAGGACTTCCAGTACTTTGGTTCTCCTAAGTGAAAGCAGCGAGATATTTCAAGGAGAAAAAAAAGCTCAGCCATAAGAAATGAATTATGACTGTTTACAGAAGCATTTCAGGTCATTTTGACCCGTGCGTCGAAAATTCTGAGTTTATGATAACTTTTGCTCTACTAATCAAAATCTATCTATCCGGCAAAGGAGGATGATGCCTTTAACGAAGTAAACATGTAATGGGTATTTTTTTTTATAGAAATTTTAATTGGCAAGTCAAAAGAAAAAAATTTTCTTTGATTGTCAATAAAATAAAATGAGACTTATTCTGTTTGAGTTAACTCTTCCTTAACTAGTACTATATCAATATGTGAATTAGAAGATGTTAGTTAGTTGATGCGAAATTATTTCTTTTACTGAACAATTCATAAAATACTTATTAACTATCCTAAACTTAATAAGAAATGAAACTAACTTATACTAATAATTCTAATTGAATTGAATTTTCTTTTTATCGTTTTATAGAATCTCATATACGTTCAAATTCCGGTGAATTAAATTCACCTTGGTCATTACTTTCTTCATCGAAATTGGAAGATAATAATAATTCAAAACCATCATCTCAACAATGTTCAGACAATAAAAGCAAATTTTTTGATAATTTTATATCAGATAGTAACAATAATACAAATCGATTTCAATCCAATCGTTCTCATCAACGTTTATCAAATACTCATTCAACTCAAACATTACGTGAAAATGATGGTCATTATAATCGACAATATGATAATGATGGTCATTATAATCGACAATATGATAATAATGGATTACCTGTACGACAACCATTTTATTCCAATGATGATCCTTATCCTCAAAAACAACAACAAAAACAAAATCATTATCAAAATGATAATATTCAACAGAAACAAAGATATTTTTATAATAATCATCGTACAAAAAAATTTAATCAACAACAATATATAGGTGGTAATCGTAGTAATGGAAATCGTGAAACATTTCAAGATAATCCAAATGATTATGATAATGATTTTGATTTTGAAACAAGTAATCGTAAATTTAATAAATTAACAACTGAAGATGAATTTAAACATGGAAATGATTTAATAACAAATCAACCTATACAATTACAAATTGATAACAATTCAATAGATGATTATCAACCTATATATGATAAAAAGAAATCTTTTTTTGATAATCTTATTGGAACAGAACAGTCAGATGTACCAATATCATATAATTATAATCGTTCAAAAAATCAAGATACATTTAACAATGATAATTATCAACATTATAATAATCGATCGAATGGTAATGGTTATCGACAATCAAATAATAATTATCGACAACATCAACATGGAAATGAAGGTTTTCATTATAAACAACATAACAACAATAAAAATGGATATCATTATCGATATTAATCATTCCTCTTTTTTTTTGATTGTATCTCATGTTCAAAGAAGAAAAAAAACAGATGTTTTTTTTTTTTTAAACTAATGATCTCTTTTGATTTTCATTCCGTTTGTTTCTTTTGTATAGATCTTCTCTCTCTTTTCTATATCCTTTAGTGAGAGTGTGATCTTATATTTCGTTCTGTTTTCTTTGTTTCTGGCAATAAGAAAAACTAGGTATGTATGTGTACAGGTCGTCGCGCCCATGACAGATATATTGCCGATTGACATTTTTTTTTTTGTAGTTTCATCTCTATTGTTTGTTTATTCATTTATTTCTACTTCTTTTTTTCTCTAAACCAACCATGTAAACACACACACACACACACATGGATTTTTGTTGGCTTTTTTTAACTTGAAAAGACATATTCTTCGTTTTTGAAAACATCAAAGAAAGTTTGTATTCTATTAATCATCATTATTGTTCTAGTTTGTCTTTTCTATTTGTGCATTTTTTTTCACAGGTGTATATGTGTGTGTGTATGATTAAGAGAAACAAATCTTGCACAATGCAACCTACTCAGGTGAATTAGAAGCCTTGGCAAGAAAGACAAAAAAAGGATCATAATAAAACAAAAAAATAGTCATATGCATCATTCAACATACAAAAAAAAATCTAATTACTTTCTTCTATATAACGATAGTAAAAAATCGATTAATTTTGTTCAAATAAACGTTACATTTATATATAAACATAAAATATATAGTAATCAATCTAATATATGATGACAATTCAATAGAATAATGGACTAGCGAAACCTTAAGAATGTATTGTACATAAAAGACAATATATAGATAAGAACATTATGAATATAAATGTGCTATATAAAAAGAAAAAGAAATAATATCAAGGAAATCACACTACATAATTGCTATACCTTGTACACAACAAAATATATCTTTACATGAAGAATATGTCATACAGTAATCCTAAAAAAGAAAAGTTTTTCTTTTCTGACAATAGTTTTTTCGTATACTCCATCGCAGGATATTATAATTTGGAAAATTTTTCATTTATGAAAATGAATAGTGACATCTTATATTTGGCATGAACTTGAAATACATATATATCATGTATTATACTTTAATAAGGTTTTTAATTTCATGTAGAGGAAATTGTTGTGTTTGATGTTCTTATTTAGCTCTTTAAGTATTATGACTCTGTCCGTGAGAGAAATTACTACAAGTTTTTATATTTAAAATACTCATAGTACAATATTAATATTTTCATTAAAACTATTTTGAAATTCAGAAAACTATTATCGGAATTTTAAAAAAAGGCTATCGGACAAAATGCTTATAACTTTTGAACGAAGATAGCTAGAGCACTGCGATTTTCACCATTCGAAAGGGGGAGACAAGGGAAGGCCTTTTCCTCCAATATTGTATAGGACGAAATCATTTAAAAATCAATCATTTCTAAAAAAAACATTGAAAATATACATGAAAACGATTTGTCGTTCCGATGGAATTTTGGTTCAGACATCTGATCTAGATAGAGGAACTTCAGATGTATAGTTCAAGATATAATTCGAATGATTATCTTTCCACCTTCTAATGTTGAACAAATAAATTTGTCTATTCAATCGCATGAAAACCATAGAGTTCTTTTAATTTTTAAGCGTATTTTCTTACTTTTCGTCAAAATTTCATCTGAATGACAGATCGTTTTTATACATTTTTTCGATATTTTGTAGAAATGACTGATTTTTAAATGATTTCGTCCTATACAATATTGGAAGAAAAGGCGTCCCCTTGTCTCCCCTTTCGAATGGTGAAAACCGCAGGGCTCTAGCTATCTTCGTTCAAAATTTATAAGCATTTTGTCCGATAGCCTTTTTTTAAAATTCCGATAATAGGTTAATTCAAGATGACATACATGTTATTTATAAAATATTCTCATGACAATTATAAAAATAATTTCTTCTCGATTACATACAGAAGGTTATTTTAAAATAAACATTCATGATTGAAAGGTGTGATTCTTTATCGTTTGGGTATATCAAATGATACTTTCCTTCCTAATAATTTATTCATTTTTTAGTTTATTCTCCGTGAATCAGTGTCATAGTGATCAATGATAAAAACTCAAGATATGTGACGTTAGAATCAGTTCGAGTTTTGAATATTTCACTCCACTCAGAAGAATTACGAGATTCATACAACTGTAAGGATTGTTCATCATTGAAATTATATTTCATTGTTTCCTTTTATTTTGCTTTGAAATAATTGTTGATATGTTGTCAAAATATTAGTAAATTTTGAACTATGTCACAACTCATATATGTATATATAATTGAATAACAACAATAGACAATTATCGATAGACAATAACAATAAACGGTTTTATATTTGTGAAACAAAATTTAATTATCCTAATACACCTTTATAATATAATATTTAGCAATTGTAAGGATCATCTATAATGTCATCAGCAATTAAAGACATTCCTACATTTAGTATAACTATATTTTAATCACTGAAATCAACTACATTTTGTAGATAAGTTAATAAATGACTAATCGATGTATTTTATTGTCAATGACATTGATATGTAGTACAAAATATTACTATTTATTGCATCAATAATTTTTATATACGAATCTTGAATAATAAAATACGCCATTATCTTGTGTTGTCAAATAATTATTAATGGGAAAAATATCTTGTAATATTAATCAAGAGAATAAAATCAAATATAGAAAAAAAAATTCATTATTTAAATTGGAACTTTACTTGATACTTTTGTTTTTAATTTAATATATGTGTGTGAAGAAATAATCAAAAAATTAATTTTCTATGTTTCTATGAAAATTTTATTTTTTTGTTTCAGTTTATCATTCAATCAATAAAATGACTCGTTCTCTTTATTTGAACAAGGTCGAATTTTTTTCTATGTATATAAGGTAAAAGAGCGTATTTATTCATCCATGAAGGACTGAACATATCTTAAACTTCTGTTTTTTTTTTGCTATGCCAAAATGATTAAATATCTAGAGTTATCCTAAACAAAAAAAGAAATTATTTTCATAATATTTATGATAAAAACTAAAATAAATTCAATTTTTTTTGAATAAATCAATCAACATTTTCATTGAATATAAATATCTATATACCAAAATATATTAATCATCGTTAATGAAAACTAAAACCTTGTTTATAATGCATATAACTAAAGGCTATGACCTTGCCTTTTTTATAAGTATAAACTACATGGTTTCGACTCGTTTGTTTTCTTTTTTAGTTTCATATATCACCGTCATAAAGTATCATTAATTTGCACTTATCGATTATCATTATGGTAGACTCTAGTTTAATAACTGATGAAGAATCAACTTATAATAATTTATCAGATTTGAGTACATCTGATAATGAAGAAACAACTACAGCAGATTATCAAGAAGATTCATATTCAACTTCAGTTTCAGCACGTATAAGTTCAACATTAAGTTCTCAATATATTTATCGATCACATCAAACAAATATTCAATCATATGATGATATTCCATTTGAATCATCTATTGAACCTAATCAATCTGATTTCGTAAATCATGATAATTTTTCATCTGATATAAATATAGCAAATCAACGAACAATAAGTAGCAATTCCGATATATTTTCAACAACAAAAACAATTCTTGCACAAGCACTTCCAGAAACACTTGCAGCACCACCAGGATGGTATAGTGAATTATTTGATTCATTTTTAACTATTTCACTTGAAATGGAATCAAATTTAAATATTAATAATAATAATAATAATAATATAAATTTTATTGAAGAAAATGAAGATTATCAAACTTTAAATATGATGGATGCTCCTCCAATGATTTTTTCTTCAACTGATGAATATAATCGAAGAATTAATGAAATATCATCATCAACTATATTTCCATCAACAGCTTTCAATACAAATAGTATTAGTGAAATGAGTAATATAACATTTGATGATTGTATAAGTAACGAAGAAACAATAAATTTAATGAAAGATCAAGAAATTTCATCATCAAATATAGAAGATATAGAATCATCAACACCACCACCGATTGTTATTCGTAAAAAAATGCCAAATAATAATGTTACATATCAACAAAATATTACTGTACGTTATTTACAACCACCTACACCACCACCACATGGACCAATTATTATTCGTAAGGAAAAATTTTTTTTTGTTTTTTAAATCTTAGGAAATTATATTATTCACTTTATTTCTTAGGTGAAATTTGTCCATCTTCATCAATACCAGAACCACCTCTTCAAGTATAATAATTCATAGAATTTTTCAATACAAATTCTTCTATTCTATTATTTTAGATTCGACAACGACCACCACCTCCAGTCACACCACCACCATTAGTAATTAAGAAAAATTTATTTAACAAAAAAAAATAATAATAAATCTTATTATCTATGTATCTTTTTACAAAGATAATTAGAGAAAGACCTCCTACACCTCCACCTCGACTTTCTCCACAAGTAATTGAAAAATTATTACCACCACCACCTCGTCCGCCACGTCGTATGATTGTCGAACGTTTTGCATCATGTCCACCTAAACCAGCTGATGTTATCATTGAACGTTGGTTACCTTATAAACGAAGTGATCGACGACAAGTTCTTTATCAACGTGCACCACAACATAATATGTATAAAAATTGTTTTCTTTAATTAATAATTAATCTAATTTCTTTGAATATTTTTAGACGACCAAAAGAACCAAATATACTTATTATACATGAACAACCACATGCACGTATTCAGCAAGAATTTATAAATGAAGGAGTTACTCGAGTCGATCCTCAAGTTTATCTTCAACGTTATGGTTCTGAACTTGATTCATGGCAGAAAAATTCCCATTTAACTAATTTAGTTAGTCAAGCAACTCATGTTTTACCTCCACCTAAACCAACATTTTCAACAATTGATCCACACAGTCATCTTCAATCTCCGACTTCTTACGCACATGGATATCAATCTCCGACTTCTTACGCACATGGATATCAATCTCCGACTTCTTACGCACATGGATATCAATCTCCTCCATCTACTGGTGCTACAAATATCCCGACTAAAATGAAATCAGCCACATCTACACCTTATTCAAAGTCATATTCTGATGATTATGCACAATTTGATTCATCTTATCATTATTCTCCACAATCTTTTGATAGAGTACAAGAAGAAAACGTGAACAAAATGGTCCATGGAACACATTTATGGGATGATCATTCTTATCCACCAAGTTCTCGTTCTCATCTTCCATCTTATCAATTTCCATCAACATCATCGCCTATTCCTTCGAAAACAATTCAAGTGAATTCTGAGACTGAACTTCAACATATTCTTTCTGATTTAACACATGGCCAGGTGTCATCATCACTTGGTTCATATTAAAACTTTTACAAAAAAAAAAAAAAAAAAGACAAGAACCGATGACAAATATGTTTGTTTTTTCATTTTATTTACATGTTACTTTCAAGAATAGAATAAGTTAAATATTTAAGATTTTAAAAACAGAGAAAAAAAAAGGAAATGTCTATTTCGGTCGTTGATTTCGAGGTTGTTTAAGTATTTGTCCTTCACCAGAAAATGGTTGAAATATATTTGTATTAGGTTTTTCAATTGTATTTGTTGTTTCATCATTAATTGAACGTAATGGTATACGTAAAAATTGTAATGTACCATATTCATAATCATAATTTGGTATTCCACGTATTTGTTGAGTTTGTAAATTATTTTGTTGTTGTTGATCTTGTTGTTCTTGATCTTTTGATTTATTTTTACCATTTAAACGATTACCTTGTCCATGAAATGGCATAAATGTTGATGGACTTTTATAACTAGTTGGTATTGGTGTATGAGAATCACCTGGTGTTATTGCCATTGAATTTGTTGTTTTTGGTGTTGTTGATATATTTTGTGATGATGTTGGTATATATTTTGGTTCAACATAATCAATTGGTGGTGCAAAATCAACTTCCATATCACATTCAATAATTGATACAGCATCAGCTGGTCTTAATTCCAAAACACATAATTCATAATTACGATTAAGATAATTTATTGCAATAAGATCACCTTTTGTTAAACAATTAAAATTTCTTAATGCTGTTTCTAAAACAGCTTTTGGATTTGATATATCAAGAAAATCTTTTGATTGTGGTTGAAAACGTGCAAATGTTGCTGTTGGTAATGCAACAGATTCAACACTTACTTCATCACCTTCTTGTAATAATAAATGATGCATCATCCAATTTGGTAAATAACATGTTGTATTATCATTAGGTAAAAATTCTAATACACCACAATGTGTTATACGATCAAGTTTTTTATTTTTTAATTTAAATAACATTACATTATTCTATATGAAGATAAAGAAAAACATAAACATTTATTTATTTTCATTATTCATCGAAATTATTTTTCTGTCTTACTTGTTCAATTAAATGTTCTAAAGCAGCTTGTGGAAGTAAAATTTTTCCACCATTTTCAACATTAAGACGATCACGATCATGATCAGGTAAAAATGCAGCTGAATAACATTGATAAACAGCACGAAATGGACCACTACCACCACCACCCATACCTTGACCACCAGGAAAATTTTGTCGAAAAAATGGATTAAAAAACATGATGACGACAGTCGAAAACAATCTAAAACAAAAACATCTAATCTCAATACTAGAACCCGTTGGTTCGATCTGGGTCTGAAAATTTTCGACTCAACCGATTCCAATGAATGTTATCGATGAAAGTACGTCAATGCTTTAAGCATGTCATACATTTTCAAATATTGTTAAGTTTAAATTTTTATCATGATTTAAAATACGCAATTGATAATATCATAATATTTTTCTTTTTTGAACACAACATAGGTTTTCATCTGAATAGTAGAGCTCGATAAAACTAGACGAAGCCTAAAAGGATTCGTTTCCATACACTGTCCTTCTTGGGTTATGACTGTTTTACTGAATTTTCGACCTGAAATTGTGCCCATCAATAAGTCTCATGATCTTTAGAATGTTCTAAAAATTTCAGCCCAAAAGAATGTCATATGTTGCAGATATTGGCTATCCAAAAAAACGATCATGTGTCGCAAGGAAAGATCAGAAAAGCGAGTGTCTTCAACATTCGATATCTCAAAAGAACAGCATGCTTTTGAGCTGAAATTTTTAGGACATTCTAAGGATCAAGAGATAAAAATTCAGTAAAACGGTCATAACTCAACAAGCGCTGTATATGGGGATGAACCCTTTTAGGTTTCGTAGTCTCATCAAGCTCTACTAACTGGTGTAGATATGATTCAAAACGACGCATTACACTTGGGGACCTTTCCTCGTTAGTCTGGGGTACGAAAGGTTGTAAATTAAAAGAAAAAAAAATCACAGAAATTAAGCCTACCGATTTTTCCTGGTATCAGTATAATAGCGAGTTTACGCATTCATGAAGTACATGTATGCAGTAAGTTCTCCAATAGATAAATCACTTTTGAGTCAAGACTATGTGCATTATGTAGATTCAAATGAACTATGAATACTCTGAAAAGAGTTTGCGCTGTTAGTTTATTGCTACAGAGACACTACAATTTTATGGTGTTTTTTAAAAGAATGTAGAAACAACAAAACAAACTAATTTGCGACTTGCAACTTCATATAGAGACTAGCCTTAACAAAAATTGTTTTCTTTTGTTACTGTTTCAGATCTTATTGTGGCTCCTGTCCTGAAGTATAACTAAGGTGATAGCATGCCTTTTACATTACTCACATAAGCCAACAGCATTCACAAAAGTCTTTCTTGTGAAGGTTTGTCTCTATGCAAAAGTATTTTATCAACTGCACAACTTCTCTCGTTCGAGAAAAATCTAACGAAATTAAAACTGATGTCATTCTATGTATTTCTACATTTCAATTGTAGAAAATTCGAAGTTATATCCAGTAGATGAATAGATTGTAAATAAGGACACTATGTATTCTATGACTTTCTGCCCTTAAACGGACTCTCCTTTTTTTTGCTAAGCTATAAACCCATGTGATCACTCTATTCTCGCTTACACAACAAATACTAACAATATATATATATTCGTCATATTTTATAATGAATCAGAGAATCAATTGTATGACGTGTCGAAATTTCTTTCATTAGTATTATCTTTAAAAAAAACAATATCCCTACGTATAGATCTCTTATTAATAATGAATAACCTCATGTTTATCTAAACAACCGATATGTTATGTATTATTTTTTGTGTCATAAAATTTTAAATTAATGAAAAAACAAATTATTTATAAGAATAATATATATAATCAATTGTTTATGAATTATAATAATTTTTGACAATAAAAATGATGTCGCTAGTTTAAATAACTATTTATTTACCAATGAAATTTCAATGGAGCAAAGAAAAAACAAAACAAATATTCTCAGTCATGAAATAAAAAAAAATTCTGTCTCATCAATACATCTACCAGAGGGAGCTAGAATAATATTTTATAATGATGAAAAATATTGTGTCCAAGAGGAGACGATTGTGGCTGCTTTAATCCCGTTTCCTAGGATATATGAATTGAACAATAGAGAATAAAAAAAAAATCAATCAATAATTTATTTATTGTCTTTTTTTTTTAATATTTTATTTATTTATTTCAAGATATTTTCAATGCAAAAAAATCAACATCTTGTACGGCCATGTGCTGTTTTTCTCGAACGTTTAAATGATACATTTATACCTTCAAAACGTTATAAAGTCGATGCTGATATTATATATCGATCATCAAATGAACAAACATCTCATAATAATAATGATGAATTATCTGTTGATGTTCTTATGTTACCAAATAATAAAGTTAAAATTTCTTCATCATCAACATTTGAAGATTTACCTATAAATTCAACTAATCAAATAACAACAAATGATGATATTAAACCAGTTGTACGTATACGTCCACATCAATCATCAATTGATTCAAATGAATATGATTCTTCTATAATAACAAAACGTCATAATTCAATACGTCGTAATGAATCCTCATCATCAAATAAATATGATAATGATTTATATTTATTTAATAGTACATTTGATTCAGGTGATGAACTTGGTGTAGATTTAAATGATGATGATTTAGCATCAATAAATCATGTATTAGATTTTGATGATGATGATATGTCAAATTTTGATGATGATAATCAAAATTTATCACCAACAACAAATAGTAATCATGGATCAATTAGTTATCATTCAACACAATTACCAGATTTAGTTATGGGTTCAATACGTTCTGAGAATGGTATTAAATCTGAACCATCATTTCAATATAGTGATTTATTTAATCGTAAAGGACGTACATTTGTTTGTGATGAACGTGGAAATCGTGTTGTATCAGTTAAACTTGAAAAAACATCAGCTAAACGTTTAATTGATGGTATTGAAAGAAATTTAGGACGTTTAATTTTAGAAGAATGTCGTCGTGGTGATTTACAAGCACATATTTTAAAAGTATGAACAAGAATTAGATTTTTGTTTTTTTTTTGAAAAATAATATTTTGCTTTTAGGTTGTTTTTAAAGATGAACAAGAATTTTTTGATTTTAATCGTTCAGCTATTGTTTCAAAACATTCATTTAAACAATGTCCTGAAATGTATACGAGATTTCTTGAAAGTTTATTTGAATCACAAACATATACAAATGAAAGTGAACATGATCCACTTGGTTCTGATGTAAGTATTTCGTTTGAACTATGTTCTTTGGTTGTTCATACCAGTGACAGTTGATAATGAATGATGTTTGTTCATTTTTGGCTTTTTTGAAAGCATTTCAGTATAGATCGTGAACACAATTTGAATATGGCCTTAGAAATGTTCTGTTGAATCGTTTTGTAGAGTGAATATTTTACGACGTAAAACGGTTGTCGATTTTTCAAAAACCAGTATCGAACAAAATTTTAATCCTAACCCATTCGAAATACGTTCTAACGAGTCAAAAGTGTAGGAACATGTTGTCGAAAAACCTTTCGATTGGCTATTATTTAGAGTACCATTGATTATCTATTCTATATTAGAACTTCAGCTTCCTATGTATTATTCTTATACTGATACAAGTAGTATCAAGATCATAGATTTTCTTTTGTGTCGAATGAATTTCAGAAATATTTTTCCAGCAATATCACATATTATTATCTGATTCAGAGAAACAGAAAGTTATTAATCAACTTATCGAATCACTATGAATATCATTTTACTTTTCATATATAATTCATTTATACATAGTATTGTCTTTTCATGCTATTGTTACCATGGGAAAAAAAAGCATGAACAAGTTTTTTCAGTCTATTACGGCATGGATAAATGACACTACTACCAGCATCACTCTAATGACCATCAGTTGAAACGGATATGA